ATCAAGGACTCCCACACTGTCAGACCAGGTGGCCTGTCCCTCATTGTCCACCTAGCAGGCACCCGCATTGGCCTCCCTGCCTCGTGGAGTCTTCTGGGGATGTCATCTGTCCCACATCTTAAGGCCCCAAGGTCACAGTTGGAAGGAACAGGCGCTTCCTGGAAGCCAGCCAATCCTTTCACGCCATTGCCCACGGGCCCTGCCCACCCTCGTTTCTCAGTTGGCTGCCTCAGAACATTCCAAGCCATCGCAGGGTGACAGCCTCCCGTAGAAGCCAGGGGACAGGGCTCTATTGAATGTGACTTGGGAGAGTGGCCGCCCCTCGCCTCCAACTGACCTTAGAGGTTGGGAGGGGAGGTGGTCAAGCCATCAGACTTTCTCTCAAGGGGGCCCAGAGTGGGAAGAGCATCCCGAGGAGGCGAGGAGGCGGGTTTGGTCTCTTACCCACCTGGACCCCATTCCTAAAGGCTGTCAGCCAGCACCAGCATGTAAGGGTTAGAGAGGGGGCTGGCCCAAACCCTGCAGTAGTTAACTGTGTGTCTGCAGGCAAGAGGTGCAGCCTCCAGGAGCCTCCATTTACCTGCCTGCAAAATGGGGCCATAAGCAGCCCCCACATGGGGACACTGCTCCACCAACAGTGGTCGCTGGCTGCTTCACGACAGCGGGCAGCCCCAGTCCATCCTGCCTGTGACCTGTGTGAAATTGCTTTCGGCATGCTCCCTGGAGCTCCTAGTTATTATATGAGGTAACTGGTATAAGCAATGGAGCCCTGGGCCTGGCAGGTCACGGACACTTTGGAAGTGCTTGCTGTTGTTGGCGTTGTTATCCATCTGGTCAGGAAGTCCCGGGCCCTGGCTGACCGTTTGCCCTCTCTGGACACAAGGCTCCCTTGCCCCTCGTGGAGGAAAGGGCACCATGATCTTTGGGCAGGTAGCAAGCCCAGTGCAGACTGGCAGTGGCCCACTAGAGGCTGTGTGCGGTTGCCCACAGCACGGGGTGACCTCCAAGCCTGACCTGCCTTGGAAGGGCACAGGAGCTCACAGCGGAGTGAATGTGAGCGGAGCCGGTGTGGAAGGGGAGGCTGAGATCCTTGTCCCCTCTCACACTGAAGCCCCAGGAAGGTGAGCACACTTCCGTTCTCCATTCTCCCGGCTCCCAGCACATCCGCACTCATGCCTGTCTCCGCAGCAGACCTGGTTCATGTGTGTCCAGGTGTTCCTTAGAAAGGAGACAGAGGGTGCGTCCTTCCAGTGTTCCTCACAGAAGGGCTGAAGCTGACCGTGAAACCCTTTGGTTACAGTGGCTCCCCGTCTCCCTGTCCAAGGCCAAGAAAGACCCCTCCCCAACATGGGATGGGGTACGGGGTACCTCTCCCTCTGATCCCAAGCCAGAATTGCTACTCTGCCGAGAGCCGGAGCACTCCTTAGCAGGCTCCCCCATAGGACCACAAGCCCCAGCTGCCCCAGCTAGCTTGGTGGGTGCTAGTGGCATGGAGAAGGCAGGCCACTTTTCAGGAAGCCACCTTTAGGCTCTATACCACCACCACCACCACCACAATACACTTAAGCAGGGGTCAGGGACTGGCCACTAGCTGCTGAAGGTACCCTCCTGTCTCCCTCGGAGCTCCTGTCGAAGGGTGGGGGGTGGGGGCGGTGCCCTGGAGAATGGCCCTTCGACACGGTCACGCAACCCCCTGGCTGGTTGCCCCACTGCCTCTGCCTGTTGGTGAAACTGGGCTCGAGGGCGGGCTGAGGTGCCTCATGTGAAGGGCACCAGGCCGTGCGAGGCTTCCTTGGGCCCTGGAGAAGGAGGTCTGGACAGCCAGTGGCCATGTCTCCTTCCTGGGTGGAGACTATTGGAAGACTGTGGGCTACCCAGGTGTGGTTAGAGGCTTGACGCCCTTACAACCCAACTCCCAAAGGGAATGAGCAAAAATGATTTTAAACGCCATCTGGAGTCACAGAGGGCAGGACGGTCAGGAAACAGGCTGAGAGGCTGTCATCCCATCGGTGAAAACGCGATTCGGAGTCACAGAAATTGAAACAGTGTGGCACCGCTACCAAGTTGGGAGCTGTGGCTCACTGAAACATCACCGAAAGCCCCGAAATAGACCGTTTTGTGCATCATTCGCTCCGTGACAAAGGAGGCCCCTTCTGAGAGGGAGCGAGAGAAGGCTGAGCTCATTTGTGTCTATCAAAGTTGAAGAAATGCCTTTAGCCTCCTATCATCTGCCAAGGTAAAGGAGTTAGCTACTTAAAAATATATGCTTAAAGAAGACAAAATCACAATAAGTGGAATCGAACATTTGTCAGATCTTTGAAAGGGTAACTTTCCAAGCTTTGAAGTAATTTCTAAAACCACCAAAGACCAATGAATTCAGTTTTTCAAACTAAACACTTTTGTTCAGAGAAAAACATGTTCATAACGAAAGAGCCAAGCTAGACAATACCCCCATCTTTTGAGTGTTCGCTTCAATAGGAGCATCGAGGCTGATAAACAAGCTGTTCAGTATAATCTGCTGCCGTCAGGAGGGAGGAGAGGCTGGTGGAGGAGGTGGAGG